ATCTGATTTTATATGATTGAAATGAATACATTTAACACTTGTATATGAATGTTGTAAGATCTCAGTTGACTCTGTAGTTCATCACATCATAAAATATAAATTATTCATCTAGTAACACTTTTACTTTGAGACACGCTTACTTTAAGACTCTATTGTTTGGTAGAAGAAACTGAAACCGCACCCACCAACTCAGTGGACCGAGGTTAACCTGAAATACAATTTACAATTACATAGTCCAACAGTATAATCCTTTTTGATGATTGAGGCTCTTTTACATAATAAAAGTGTTTTAACATGCTATTTTATTCATCTAATTCTCTTATTTTCAAAGGCAGATAATGTTCTTCAACTCACTACATCAGCTAGAGTTATAAGTAAGTTAGCAGATTCATATATAATATACAAAAAAATAGATCTTATAAAATAACACTACGTGAAGTACTTCAGCTTAGATTCAACATAACCAGCTACAACATATAAATGCTACTTACACATGGAGGTATTAGTATTCCAATTATATAATATAAAATAACCTAACTTTGATTTTTATGCATTTTGTACATTTTTCTACACATACATTTTATGGCCACTTCGAGGCAGCAGAAAGTATTTTATTTTCATTTTAATATTTGTGAATAAAACATCGACATTTCACAACTGTTGCTTATTTATACATCCAGCTGTTATGGAGCAACATTATCATTCATTTGGAGTCGTGTTTCTGCTACTTAATGAATGTAGATCACATTTTCACTCTCTTTAAGCTTTGCTTTTGGTCTCCACCGACTGCTGAGGGAAATGTCTTGCTCTTTAGGAGCTAAATGCTCCACTTTGTTCACCAACTAGTTGCTAATTGTGTTTTTCAGCTGTTTGGTGCTGAGCAAGGCATATACAGTGGGTTTTTAGAGAGTTTTCATTGAAAACAGTTTCTTGCTGCGAAACAGAAAACAGCGCTATGAGAGCGGTGAGAGAGAACCAAAACTGCAACGTTGTGGACGTGACATCTAAGTCACTATAAAGCTCAGTAAAGGCCGTGGAACCTGCAGATTTGCTGCGGTTACTTTACATTTTCTTATTATTATGTGGTACATTGTTGTAAAAATAGTGATTTACTAGTGTTTTACTGAATAGCTCTTCCACCACCTCTTAGTGTAGAGACTCTATCTGTTAATACAAACAACTCTCATCACCAGATCTTTTGTGATGTTCTCATAGGTAATCACTGGTCAACAAACACAACATAGTAATCTGAGGACAAAACCCCTTGCTGTGTGAACAGAACTACCAAAATAAGCCACTTTGCCAGTATTAAGTACAAGGCAATGTGGGCTAAAATTACCTACAGCTTTGTGCTTTATCTTTGTACCTACTGATCCACTCCCATTTCTGTTACACAAAGTCTGGCCCCTAGACTAGGCAATAACATGGTGGCACAGATGTCGTAAACTTAATCCTGTTGCACTGATTGTGAAACTGATGTGTTATAAAGTCCTTAGCTGATGTCACTTTATCTGTTACGTTTCTGGTACTTGCACACTTTTTTCCAGATAATGTTCTATAATGATTAAAAAAGATGTATTATGGTGTATTGTATAATGACTGCATCAATCTGTGTTGCCTAATTGAGACAAATGTGGAACCCAGAGATAAGTTCCCTAATAGGATCTTCCACCATGTGATATCGTGAATTGATTTGAATACAAGAAGGCATTGTAGTTTTGTGAATATAAAGATGGATTTATATGTAGAATTTGTACTGCGATACTACTGCTCCTTTCTTTAAAAGAACATTTGTATCAAATGGTTTTCTCAGGCACTTTAAATTCTGCTGGAGTCACACAGGTAGCTACAGTGGACTGTAGTGCCTCACCCCTGGATGATGAAAGCACGCATCAATCAGTCAACTTCCCCTCCTTGGCTGCCAGAGGACAATCTTTCCCACACCCCCAAAAACATGTGAAAAATCATTACATAACACTGAAGCTGAGTTCTAACAGGGGAGGCGGGAATCCTCAATATTTAACACCTCTCATCCTACATTCACTTTGACTCAGGCCGAGGAATAACCTTCTGATCTCCCCCATCAAAGCTCACTCAGACAGTCACCTCACATCTCCCTTTATCCCTGAATCTAATCGGCACTGATTGGCTTATGAAAACCCTAATCATTGAAAATTACTTTTAATGTGGTGCCGGTATGTGTGGGATCTGAATAAGTTTAAAATGACGAGCGAGTGCAGGAGGGTTTTTCTGTGCCTACTTGATTTGAAGTAGCTGTGTGCAGTCACTCTATATAGATGTGGTTCTGAAAGCTAATGAGACAGAGCAGACTCCTCTCCTCTATGGTGAGGGGGGCAGCCAAATCCCTGATGAAAAAACACTGCAATATTCCTATTACAACCCCACAAGGACATAGCAAACCTATAGACTGTATATGGTACTTCAACTGGGACTTTACAGTATGCTTGAATGTACCTACGTCTTCTATAGGATCATATTACATGTAATACTCTTACTTACTTACTTATAATTACGTATACTACATCTGTGTTAGTTTATAGTGAGTTAGTGACCTTATCTTTTTTGTCTTCTTTTTCTATAATATTGCTATTAGATAGCTATTTAAAGTGCCCCTGCACACTCAACCTCAAATCTCTTACCTTATCTTACAAGACAGCATTTTAATGTCTTGTATAATAGATAAAATTTCCCTCTCTTGTGCTGGGTGTAGAAAATAATATCATGCTTTATATTTTTAGCCACCTTAGTGGCATGGCTGTATGGATGCTCAGTTGGTCGTAAGGTTGGTCAGGCAGTCCACTACTTTGGTCCAGACTGAAATATCTCAGCAACTAATGGATTTTCAGACAGATTCATGGTCCCCAGAGGATGAATCCTAATGACTTTTATGATCCGCAGACTTTTCATGTAGCGCAACCATGAGGTTGACATTTATGGTTTTGAGTGAAATGTCTATTTAACTTATGGATAGATAGCCAAAGGATTTAGTGTTGATATTGTAAAAAAAAATAAAAAACGGTACTTGTATACCGCCTTTGTAGTCTTCCAACCACTCAAAGCACCTTTACAATACATGCGACTTTCACACACATATAGTGATCGCAAAGCCCATCAAACAGACCACACACCAATGTACAGCATCAGGAGCAATTCGTGGTTCAGTACCTTGCTCAAGGATACTTCAACACATGACGGGAGGAGCCGGGGATCAAACCAACAACCTTCCAATTAGTGAACCACCACCAAAGTTCATCAATTTTAACAACTATTGGATGGGTTGGCTCAAGATTTTGTACAAACATTCATGCTGAAGATGAATCCTAAAGACTTTGGTAAGTCAAACAATTTTCCCTTTAGGTTGACATTTGTGGTTCTGAATCAAATTCCTATTGGACAGTTTGTCCTGAAATTTAATTCACATATTTATTTCCCCCTCAGGATGAATTGTAATCTCTTTGTTGATCCCCTGACTTTACGTCTATCATCAGGTCAATGTGTCCAATACTACTACAAAACTAATGACATTCCCATCAGCCTCAGCTGTACTTTGTGTGTACTGGTAAATAATTGAAACAATATTAGCAATGGAACTTTAGCCCTCCCCTATTTAGCATTTATCAGCAGTATATAAACATGTAATAAATGGTTATACTGTAACACACCAGGATGTAGCTGTAAGCAGATGTAAGGACATTAGTGTTTATTAAAGCATAGTATTTAGTATTAGTATTATAACTTCTCCTGTGAATAAATTATTTACATTATTTAACTTTTATATTGTCATTCAATATCTGTTACACCAGCCTTCACTTATGGGGCATACATGTTAAGAATACATGAATAAACAGTTATATCTGCTTATAACTACAGTACATTTCATTGGGTTATGAACCATTTATGAGCTGTCTACATATTGCTTATAAATGCTAACTAGAGAGGTTTAAAGCAAAGCATTAATAATTAGCTAATGTTAACATGATAAATGTGCTAAAACTGTCATTATGAGCTTTTTAATTCAAACATACAGTCTCACCACTAAAGAGGCGGCAGACTTTTCTTGTCATTTTCACCTCCTATTTCTGTAATATTGCTAAAGGACAGCCACTTATGGTGTGGTGGCATTTTAATGTAATGTGTCATATAAATAATATTCTTAGTGTCTTAAGTTAACAGGGACTATACTTTACATTTCATTCTCCAATAGAAGCACTTCAGTATCACTGCTCCCATATACTATGTGGGTTTATAGTGACCTGACCCCTCATTATTATTTCCCATGACATCACTCATTCTTATAATGTAAGACACTTTTCATAGATGGCACCCTTCCCAAATTAATTATCACATTATTTATTGTTTTTCAAGACTAATGCTCCCACCAGAGTTTGCTTTACTGTCATTTACCGCAGGAATATTCTGTGGAGAACTGTTGCTCTCTGTTAGAAACAAAAAGACAAACACGCACAAAAATGACGGGGCAGGAGGTGCCGGAAACAGATGGCTGTTCCCTCCACATAAGTAAATTGACCATAAATTCAATTCAATTCACCACTGTGTGTGTGTGTGTGTGTGTGTGTGTGTGTGTGTGTGTGGTGTGTGTGTGTGTGTGTGTGTGTGTGTGTGTGTGTGTGTGTGTGGAGAGAGAGAGAGAGAGAGAGAGAGAGAGAGAGAGAGAGAGAGATTTACCCCTGTGTTCATCTTATAGCTTGTAGATGTTTTGGCACAGTCGCATTGAATTAAGTCAAATTGAATGTTTCTTTATCACATCACTGCCAATAAAGCTAATGCTAAATGATTTCTGTTTAAGTATTGGCAGTCATTTGCACATGTCTATTGTTGCTTGTATAGGATACTGGAGGCTATTGCTTTCCCTCTTGTCACTCCAACATATTTGAATTGAATAGTGATTGATAGAGCGAGGAGAATAGGGGAGAGAGAGAGAGAGAGAGAGAGAGAGAGAGAGAGAGAGAGAGAGAGAGAGAGAGAGAGGTGGTTGGAGCCTATCCGGAGGAAGAAGCAACTAGCGAAGAAGCCTCAGCAGTTACACTTGCCAAAGCGGCTCCACGCAGCCAGCAGTCTGCACTCCTTAAGATTTCTATCAGACATCGCAATTTTCAGTATCTCTCTGTTGTGCCTGACACGCGGCTGGGAATGGGATTTTTCTTTAACGTAACTTAACGGCGGCAGCAGTTGTTGTTGGACCGGCGTTTTTCGGCGCCTCCTCGCAGCGGATTTTACAAAGCCCCCCCCACCACCCCCCGGAGCCTGTAATGATATTCAGCACCCTGGACAGAGACTGAGCATTTCAGCACCCTGGACAGCGACTAACCGTCCACTGGAGGTAAGCCAGCAGAGTTGAACAGCAGCTTTGATTTATTTATTCATTTGCTCGTGTCTCACATGTTAGTCGGAAAACGGGAGGCTACCAAAAAAAAAAAAAAAAGATAATCACTCTTCTACAATATGTTGAACGTGCTTCGACTTGTCTCAGTGCTGCTTCGGAGGGAGACAAGCCAGACATTACAAATGGGAATAGTCGAGGTTGGGGTGAATTCATTTCAGGTTTTTTTTTTTTATATATATATATATATATATATATATATATATATATATATATATATAGCAGTTCAGTCGAGTTTCTGAGTCTGTGAGTTTAAAGGACAAACAAATTCCCCAATGCTGCCACTTTCTGCCGGTCTAGTTTGTGATTCTTCCCGCCGCTCTTCTCTCTCTCGGTGTTAAACCGGCTCATTTTTGGACGCTCTGCTGCAGCTAATAGAGAATTCACATGGTGTGATGTGGCAGAAGAAGAAGCTAAAGTAATCCCTAAACATCATTATAATCGTCCTCATTATCATTAGTGCTATGCTTCGGTCTCGCTCCCCGTCAGTTTTTATTTAAGGCAGCTGTTTATTTTGAAGAGTCAGCGCGTGCCCAGGCAAGCGGCGGCTCGTGCCTCCTCCGGTCTGCGCGGAAAAAAATCAGCCTATCCATGTTCTGAGGCCCCCACCACCACCACCCAACACACACACACACACACACACACACACACACACACACACCACCCCCACGGCACGCAGCCAACAGCTAGCAGTCACTAAGACAATATATAACCCTCACGACCCCCTCGTGCTTCCTCACTACACCGATATTTCAGGCTGACTGTCTGGTAATGAGCACGAGACAGGCGCTCCCTTTTAACCTATACATTTACATTATATAACATTTCTTTGGCTGTTAATCCAGCGTGATTTACTCAGCCTGTAGGTTTTTCTTTCTTCTTCTTTTTTGCTCAATGGCACTTCAGCAGGAAACATGGCTGCTGCATGGACCCCCTGTATGGGTTCTTGTGGCACCTATTTGACCAAGGTTTTATCCATTATAATGCTCATGGTGTATTTGCTAACTTGGCAATCATTAGTATTAACAGGAGCTCAAATGATTATAGTTAGATTAGCACAAATGACCAACTATGAATATTTGCCAATTTTCTTTGTGGTATGCGACTAGTAGTTGGATATTTATATGTAGTTCAATGTTGCAATGGGCATTCTTCACTATTTTCCAAATACTAATATTAATCAAGAAAATAATCAGCATATTAATGGTTAATGAAAATAATCATTGGTTGGAGCCATAGTCATAACCCTAATGTCTCAAGAGTTGGTAAATACTGTCACATTCAAGGACTTATTAATTTGACAGCCTTGTAATCCCAGCAGCACACTAGCTGTCCCTGGGATTAAACATGTGACCTTTTAGTTACCAGAAGGGTGTTGGATGTGGCCACCCAGTTTCCATTTCCTCGTTCGCTCCATGCATCACTTGAACTGTCTGCTGCTGCTCTTTTGCACAAAGAAATTAAATCTGAAAATGTAAAGGAAGAAAAATGCCCATGTCAGGCATGCTTTGAATAAGAGGTGACCCCCATGCTTTTTGCCTGCGGCGCTCCAACAGGCTCTGATAGCCCTTAACACACACTCACACACACATAAGCATACACACACTCTTGACTGTGTAAACGCACAGTGATGTAATCCTCAGCTTTTAAATCCTTGATTTTAATGATGTTCATTAGGATTTTGATTGCACTGAATGTGTGATAACTCTCGGCTCGGTGTTAAGTGTGTCTGATATGTCGTTCTCAGACTGTGAGTGACAAGAATTTAGTGGGAGGAAGCAAGACGTGTGAATCATAGTGGATATTTTGCCACAGGGCTCCACTCCAGTGTACTTAAAAGAAAGAAAGCACATTTTGATATGCCAGTTTTGCCCCTGGGTTTTTAAGCTCTGGACGCTACTGTATAGAAATTGCTGCTCTATATCATGGGGGTGATGAGATAAATGCAAATTAATCTTTCATGCTCAATTTATTATCCAATAAACAGACTATGAATTTGAATTTGAATAGTGGCCCTACAGAGGGCAGGCCACACAATAGCCTGTTACCTCTCTTTAAACTGCCATTGTCTAGAGAGCAATGAAACTCCCAGGGTTGGAGGGCACACAAGACACTGAATTCGGGGAATTTATCTGGAGGCGTTTCTTGTATCATAAAAGCAAGGCCAGTTTAACAGGCGTTTGTCACCAAGAGGGTTACCTCTTAACTGGTGCACTGTCTCAAATTGTGCCTCATTGAAAACCATGGCACAGCACACACATCCTTAGGGTCAGCAGACACGAGCCCTCATTGGCATCCAGGACACAGCAGGTTGATGGGTTCTGCTTCAGATTTTTGAATTACACAGATTGCAGACCTAGTTGCTTTTCATGAGTGTGCACTTTGCGTGCTCACAGCACAGTGGATCATGTTACTGCATGCCTGGAGTTCCATTTATGGGTCTTTTAAAATTCAGGCCCCTGCTAGAGACGCAATTAAATTCAATATTGCTATAACTACGTGACGAGGCCGGTGTGAAAGCCAGAGAGCAGGCCGAGGCAGTGAACGCCCACTCACCCTCCTCACTCCACAACCCCCCTTCCCAATCATCCAGGCTTCTGAAAACCCCTCCCCCTTATAGTGAATTGTGGTCAATTTGAATGATCAACCGGAGACAATCTGGGAGGCAATGGCTGTCACAGAGAATATTAGGCCGCAATGAGCCGCACCAATAAAAAATCTGTGTGTCCGGAATAGTCAATGTGATTTTTCACTCCCCTGTGTATTTCTATAGCTCCCTTTGGCACTGATAGAAACTAGAGAAATGAGAGTGCTCTGTCTTTGCTGTGCTCGGCTCTACTCTGGGCAAGGTTGTGCCATGCTACGCTAAGCTGTATGGTTCTGTTCTGTGTTGTGCTGTGCTGTGCTGTGCTGTGCTTCGCTCTATGTCATTAGCTGAAACACAGCTGCTGTTGCATCTGATGCAGTAAGCACTCAGCTCATCTCATTGGTTCTCAGCCACTGGTTTTCCACTTCAGAATCACTGTGCTTGGGAGGGCTATAATCTCACTGACATAATGGCATCCACTCCAATCAATAGCCAAATGGCACGGTGAATCAATAGCTACCATACTGTACAATAACGTGGCCTGGGAGTGGCAGAGGGGAAAGCAGCCTGCAGCCATCACATGTTTAACTATGGAAACTCTTTGAAAATATACTCCTTAATTATGGATCAAAAATACCAACCTTGTTAACGAGCCATGTATTATGGATTGCTGCATGATCTATGCTAATGTAAGCGCAGCATTTTGAAAAAAAACTGGCATCACTTTGCTTGCCTCTCTTTCTCTAATCACTATACATGCAAATACACAAACACACACACACACAAACACAGATTATATGCACCCAGAAGCACAAAAGTAAAGCCAAAACAGAGATATAAAACTTGAAAGTGTAAAACCAGTACTTTACATCAGTATATAAATAATGGTTGTTCAAAGAACATTTTCACTCTTTCAAGATGAGAATGGAATTACATTTATACAATTTTAAATCCTTGTTAAAATCCCCCTTCCTCGACTTCTCCATGACACACTTCTGCACAAACCAGAGGTTTTGAAATTCAGGCAAGAAAGTAGCACTCACACATCCAACCTATTCAATTAACGGTTTGTTGGCTTTCCCTGAGGAGCCAGGAAATTCATTGGCTTTTTAAGTGTTAATCAAGCTTTTATCCATGCCTAGCTAAAAGTACTCTTAAGATTAAACGGTCATTTTACATGTAACAAGGCAGTGGTGAACATTACTGTGGTTTTATCTGAGAGAAAACAGCCACAGAGTATTCCATATCCTAGACATAAGCTCTTATCCAGCTGTTTGAAGGTTTTGTCTGCAACATCCTCAGAGATAATATTATGCACAGCAAAAAGGCATAATGGTTTTGGCTAGAATACAAATTGGAAAGGTAACTGGGTAAGGGTCACAGCTAGAGCTCAGTAACTGCTGTTGTTCCAACAGAGAAGCAAATTGCCCTGAATGGAAGATAAGAAGTTTATCTTTCTGTCAGTACCACACTTTAACACGGTAAGAACTGATGTATGATTAGATCCAGCTTTTTAAAAAAAATCACTGCCACCCTGAATGGCAGTTTCTCTGTTGGAGGGCAATTTGGCAATCTGCTCAGCATCTCATAAAGCAGAGTTGCAATAGCTACACTGGACGTTTATAAATCAAAGACTTCAAATCTGAGAGTGTTGCTGGAGGAGAAAACAAATGTGAAGATTCTGACCAATCACTGCCAGTGTTGAGGAAGACGGGTAGGTGTTATGGTGTCATAAAACTCTGCACCATCTGCATGGTGGTTAAAGATTTTTCCTTATCACTGTTTTTACTGTGGGTATTTTCTTGCCACTAGCTCAATAATTTGCTACAGTGGAGGATTGTTGACAAGAAAAAATCAGACTTGTAGCATAATGCAAAGCGTCTTCCTGTCCTCTATACATGCAGAAATGTTTGGCATGTCATTACCACAAACAATACCTTATAGGTAGCTGCTGTTCAACACACACACACACACACACACACACACACACACACACACACACACACACACACACACACACACACACACATCCCCATCCCCACATACACTGACATAGCTACAGCCACCTATACACCAACCCACACCTCTTCCACGCGCACGTTTCCACACATTGAAAATCATGCTTTAAACAGAACGTGGCTGTTCGGGTATATAGCAGTGAAATATTGGAGCCATTGCAGCCCTCCAGGCATGCAGTTATCAGGGATACAGAACTGATGGGAAATCAATCAGCTCAAGTGGAGTGGCCTGGCCTGTGGTGAAGAGAGGAGTCTTGTCTTTTCCAGATGCATCCCTTGATGTCTGCAACTCCACCACTCAACCAAAACATGCATGCATTTACTGTATGTATGTA